TATCATTTACTTCTGCATGTACGTTTAAATCGCATCGGTATCGGTATCCCAAAGGAGTCGCGGAGTCGGGGGTTTGATATTAGGTATGATATATGAATCGGGAGATGGTTGCGAAGGATGTTTATTGAGGTGTTTGTGTTTTGTCATTTGTTTGGTGTTTGGTGTTTGGTAGGTGTGTGATGGGTGTGTGATGGGTGTATGGTAGGTGTATGGTAGGTGTACCAGGTCGGTAGGTATGATAGGTGTACCGGGTGGGTGGGTAGGTATGATATGTAGGTGGGTAGGTATTTGAAATGAACGGATAATCACCTACCTAGGGATGAGCAATGGGGAGATGGTTGCGAAGGATATGGGAATATGAATTAGACGCATGATGTATGGTGTATCCAATTTCCAATTTTCAACGAGCCCCCGCTCGTCTCGTCGGACTATGGCATAGGACAGGATTTGTTTTGGTCTCTGAAGGGTTGGGTTGCAGATGGATGGATGGATGGATGTTGATTCTACAGATAGATATCGATTTTACTGCATAGATAATTTATGAACACATGAGGAGGTAAGGAGGTAAGGAGGCAGTGATGATATGTATGGAATACATGTATACGCATCGAGAATGGAAACAGAGAACAGAAATGAGATGCAGGGTGCAGGATGCAAGGTAGATGCAGAACCGATCATGGTTTGGTTTGGTTCGCTGGCGTGCGTGTGATTTCTCCATACTTATCTCCACATCTCCATACCTTATCTTATCTCGTCTCGAGACCCTAGGCTCGAACACGCAACTTGCACGCATGTTGAAGTCGGGATTCAGACTCGGAGAGGAGACTGGGGACATTTCTTTCTTTCTTTCTTTTTTCCTTTTTTTGTTTTCTTTCTAAAAAGAAAAATCTGAGATTGGAAGTTCGGTCCAGCTCGGTTCACTTCAGTCCGGTCCCGTCCCGTCCCGTCTGCGAAGGTCTACTCCTACTTTCTTTTAGTTAGTTAATTAGTTAGCTAGGGGTTAAAACTTAACTAAAGTAACATTTGAATATTCCTTACCTTACTCAGTACCAAGTAACAAATAACAAGAAATAAGAAGTAACAAGAAGCAAGAAGTAAGAAATGAGTATAAGCCTCAGGTGAGTGAGGAGTTAGAACCTGGAGCTCGCAAGCTTTTCCGGGCACGCCCCCAATTTCGCAATTAATCCTCCTAGCTCCTGGCTCCTAGCTCCTAGCTCCTAGCTCTGAGCTCTGAGCTCCCTATCCTAGTTCGCCACCTCCTAGCCCCTCACGGTTCATCGCATCGCATCGCACCGTACCGCATCGTACCGAACCGTACCGAACACCGGATGGAATGGAATTCCGGGGAATAAATGAATGAATGAATCTTCTTGTGGTTTAGTTTGGGAATGGGGGGATTGGGGAATTGGGGAGTTTGTGAAGGGGGAGTATACATTGTTACTAGGTAATTAGGGCTATCAGATTCATATGATTCATGTCATCATGTCCTCATGTCAGGCTGGAAAGTAGGTTGGTAGGTAGGTTAGGTAGGTTAGGTTAGGAAGTAGGTTTGAGTGTTTTGAAGATTAATGTGCATTGGGGAGAGGTGAGAGGTGAGAAATTATTCGGAAAGTTGGGTTGGGTTGGGTTGGGTGGGTAGTTCAAGGTTGTGTGTGGAGATGCAGATAGAGATGGAGATAATCATAATTCATTAATTTATACTCGTAAATATCCAATACTAGTCCGAGAGTGTGTCCCCCCAAAAAATCCTTCAACATTAAGAATAAGATTGTGTTAATTCCTGCTTTCATAGATAGTTGATACCCTTCCTAGGTTTCCGGCCGTAAACATCATCATTACCATCTCGTAACCTTAACGTATATTTTCATAATTCATCATAGGCAACTTTATCTCCGAAAGATGAAAAAACAAACTCCAAAGAAGAACAAGAATGGATGCCCAAACTTTTGCTCTGCCTCTCGAATGGTACCTGTGTTCCCCGGCCTAGCTCGATACTCGCATATATCATAGATGATGGTGGAGTGGAGGTGATGTGGTGTGGTGTGGTGTGGTGTTACTGTAATCCAATATCAGCCATGAACGAATGGTGTAACGTGAATTTGACGTCTGTGAGACGAGGAAAGAGATATTCTATAAATACCTTCATTCCACAAAGTGAAGCAGAACCCGAAATTTGCTGCCCTGTTTTCTGGAATGGAACGTAGTAGTTCATTCCACCCATTCCATTTGCCCTTCGCTGGGATAAATAGCGTTCTTTCTTCAAGAAATAGGCTCGATTCGATGGGTGATTCCTATTTGGTAGGATTCTTTGTCCGTAAGGACCTGGGTTTCGATAATATTGTGGACAGACCGGCTTCCCAGGCTGCGCTCGCAGATGGCACGTGGGAGGGATTTGATCCGCGGGGTGTATACAATCACTGAGTGTTTGTTTACGCTTCTTGTACCTTTCCTTCGAGTGTGGGTCTTCATAATCCTGATTGGTATCCCATTTGAAACGGGACTCTAAATCGCCTTCGAGGGACTGCTCGTAGTAGTCGAGATGATCACATTCGTCTTCGGGAAAAAGGAGCCTTTGAAATATGATCGAGCAGGTAAAACAAGACCTGAGGTATGCGATGCAACAATCTTTGAACGGCTGGGGCCGCGTTTCGAATTGAGGCTTTCTTTTATCGGTCAGCCTCTCGAATTGGCTAAATGCCTTGTAGATTGTTCTTAAAGCCTCAAGTACTCTATCGCTGGGGCCCGATTGTAAGGTGAAATGTCCAGAAGCCCATGCAATAATCTCCTCGGCAAGACCAGTGGCATGTATTAAGAGAACCACGATAGCATTGCACATTTCCTCTAGATCGTCGTCTTTGACCGTCTCCATTCTCATTACATGCGAGCAAAACATTTTCTCCTTGGGCTCTAACTCTCCGAGTATTTGGATAACTTCCAACTTAGAACGCGGAAGATCCTTTGGATAATTCAACATGGTAGCATTCAGTAGACTCATAACATTGGTTAATGAAGACATTATCTAGAAGTTTTGATTAGTTTACTGTTCTCTATGATGTATAGGAACTTCGAGCTTACTTCTTGATGAACCTGACAAAACGTAAAGCAAGACAGTCCAATAAATTCTTAGAAAGATGTAGAATGAAACTCGGAACTCAACGTAGTAGTTTAGCGCTCGTTTCCGAAGTTTTAACATGTATAGTTGGATGACGTTTTGTAGACGTTTAATGTCAAATGTGCCCAATACGATCAATATGGCCAAGTTGTTCCACGGTAACTTATATGTACTACACAGGTGGGTGTTTGCTTCACGGAAGCGGGGTTGAAGGGAATGTCTGACCCGGTATGTGGAAACGTGCTCACCAGCCAATGATTCCCTTCAAATCATGGATCACTATGTATCAGGACCAAAATGATCGAAGTTAATCAAGGCAGTAAGCTGGATGGAACATAGGCATCCCTCGACACCTCCACTTCAGCGCAGCACCGAAATTAGACGCAAAAGTCGTTGTATAGGAAAAATCTTTAATCGCCGATCTTTCTTACCTATTTTCTCGCATCTGCAGAATTTCCACTGCGGTGTGTATTATACGTGTATACGATATCCCTAGTCATGGTTTCGGGGACCTGAACGGAAGCGAAACCATTCATCAAAGGTATCGGGCAGATCAACCATCCCAGGAGTGAGGACCCTGAAGGCTGAATCTTAGAGGGCTTGGGTATGTTGAAAAGTGCGCGGATGTTGGAATTAAATCAAAATCGTTTACTCATTGGCTAAGATTGTCTGATAACTTTACCAGCAATAAAAGCCATGGCTGGGGTAGGTGTTGAAAATTTGCAACCACCACCGCTCGCTGAAATTTCCCCAAACAGGAGATAGTTGACTTCAATCAATCTCGTGGTAAATGTTTTATTTTTCATAGGATGGATATTCGCGAATGTCGCGGCTATCAAAATATCAAAATATCAAAACAAATCAAGGGATCTCGAAGGCTTTTTGTGGTGGCTTACACAGCTGCACCGGCTGAGGAGTGTAACATCTTTCTATTTCTGTTGAGTTAATTAAGTTGGAATCTGGCGGTCTGAATTTGATCTATCAAGATTCAAATAATGTCAATCAGCAAGGTGATTGAGCTAGTTTTGAACTTTGAAGATCGTGTCAGATTGTCAGTGTGATTCAAGTTAGAGAAGCTTCAAAGACATTGGATAAATTTTAAAGCCAACGTGGTGATCAAACAATCATACCCCGCACTTTGTGATACTGTACTGTAAATCATTCACGTATTGTGTGGTAGAAGATCAATCAATTGATATCTCGATCAAATTCTTGAGGTGTGTAGAGTTTAGACAGACTGTATGTATGTATGATAATGGAAGAATGTATGTATATATGTATATATGTATGTATGTATATATGTATGTATGTATGAGCAAAAAAAAAGGGAGATGTGAGTTGAGAGTTGAGACTTATGAGAGTATGAAACATTCAGCGGGGGTTCGAAATCCACAAGTCTTGGTGCGGGAGGATTTTCAAATCGATTTACCCCACCACACCAGAAAGAAACCACCTGCTGAGCCAGGGTTTGGACTTTGGAGGCTGGAGGCTGGCTGCCATGAGAAAAAAAAAGATTTCTTCCAACGGATTCAAACCGATGATACTCAGGGTAACTCCCCACGCAGGATTCGAACCTGCAGCCTCAAGATTCACCATCGACCGAAGTCATTAATAGAAGTCTTGCGCGCTACCATTGCGCCAGCAGGGAAATCTTATGATATTTGCTTGCCGGCGTCACCATAGGTAAGATTATAATAGGATAGAAATTTCAAATATAAAAAGTGATTGGTTGATTAACGCTGGAGTTCCACCGGTTCCACCGTACCCCCCGAATTTCATCCGATGTCATTTCTAACGAGCAACGCAACGCAACGATGAACAATTGAAAATGCTCGCTTTAGAGACATCACTCTACTTTCTAAGGCTCTAGGAGGACGTTGTCCGATTATCAAGAAGATATGGTTGACATTGTTTGCAAAGGGAGGTACTGAAGGATGCTCCGCCAGTCTTCAGGGTGCTACATATTGCCATTGAGTAGGAAGCTATGGGACAGTCTATCATGGGTCTTTCTGGCCGCATACCACTTCTCTGGCTCTGATGGGGGATTCATTTGTCAAGAAGGGCGAGGTCAACGATTTGCAGTTGTATGAAGAGGATGTTGCATTTGGGATTACAAATAAGGTTTGTCACGAAGGGCAGTAGCTCTTCCCCGAATCAACCAGAATCAGCTACTGGGTTGAGCCAATGGATTAGTTATCCCCATACTGCAGTTTTTATATTTACTTCCGCTATCCTGCAATATATGCTATTGCCAAAGAAATCTTCCGCTTCCCAGATTCCACAAGATTGACATAGATACCTACGAAATGCCTCAAACTTCAACATACGGCAAAGAAAGTGCAGCCAACAAAGCCACCGGTGACATTATTTCGATTTCCAAACCCGGGGTCGAGGCCAAGTAGTTCGATTGTTGCTCATCGATGCGGGGGCTGCGTTTAAAGATATCCGATATGCATTTTCACCATGGCCAGAACATAACAATCATGGGAAGAAAGAGACAGAGATGAGCCCTATGGGAAATACGCCTGCGGGTGAGATGCCAGATGGAAAGATTTCAACACAAAGCTATGCCATTATTAGGCATTGGTCAAGAATGCTAGGTGCTTATGAGGGGAAGACCGAGGACGAGAAATACTGGGCGGATGTAATCTGTGATATTGTTGTTGATTGTAGGCAAACCTCCTTCATTCAATATCTCGTTGGAACATGCTGACAAAATATTCTCACAGGGCGAACACTTTTCATTTCCGCATTCTTTTCCGACAATCGGGAAGAAGATTATCCAAAACATCAAGAAGGTGATCAAAAAAATATATCTTGATTCCATCGAAACACATTTAGAGAGCTCGGAGTTGTCTCAAAAGGGACCTTTTATAAATGGCACAGAGATCACATATGCAGATTTGGCTTTATACCAGTTGCTTCACGACGAGAGTCTGGTTCAAGATGGACGAAGGGAACTGGAAGAATATCCGAGATTGGTGCAATTGGTTGATGCTGTGGAGGGCAGACTGAATATCAAGGAGTTTTTGTGCAGTGATGCTTATCTTGGTTAGATGTTACGCATCTCTTATACTGTACAATAATAAATATTGATATTCCAAGTTTCCGGAGCGTTGGCCAAGAGTGAACCTGAATGTAGACCCCGTTGACTTCATATATACATTAATGATATGAAAACCGAAAGCATACCTAGCTTTCCAAGAGTCTGTTCTGAATTAAAGTGAGACGCTGAAGGCTTTGAGATAACTTGGGCGGAACAGGATTTTATCCACGTTTGAGTTGAAGTAGGAGAGTGAGAATCATAGGCTGGGCATTATAGAACGAGAACGCAGGAGCGTTCGAACTTTATGGGAGAACAAGCTTTACGGAATATTAGACATGAGACGATAATTCATTGATATTCAAATCATGATAATAATCAGTTGGGATAGGACGGAATTGTTTGCTCTCCTCTCCTCTACTAATATTCGCATCGAAGTATTAGAATGGAACCACCGAGGCTCTCATGATATAGAGTAGATTCTTAACCACTTGGCATACTAGGGGTAGATTTGAATGAGAACTTTGTTGTTAAATAGAATGGGTTTGTAATACTCTGTAGGTACCTAGTTAGAGGGGGGCTTTTGATATACCGTAAGAAATTAACCTTAAAAGTTAACAATTGATGAAGAGGAATATATATATCAACCATGTCTTGAGTCTTGTATATTAGTAACTAGATACCTAGGTAGATGTTAATAAATATGAAAGTACTTTTCTACCAATATATATAGAAGCTTATGATGGGCTATCTCTCTCCATCTTGAAGACAACATGTGAAATATTTGATTTGATACCTAGGTACTTGTAGGATGAATGATTTTAAGTGAATTATAATTCGAGATTTATAGGTTACTATTCACGATTTACGATTCACAATTCACGATTCACGTGCTCACACCTTACCCATACCTTTCTACCGAGCTACCTAGTACCTACTATTGCCTCGGCATCGAATGGATAAGTGCTTTTAGATTTTACTATAAGTCTCTTATTGATACCTAAATAGATAGTACCTATAATAAGAGTCGTTTTACTCTCTATTAATGAACTTCAGCTGCTATTCTAGTATTAATATCTAGTATATTCTTTTACTTCGTTTTAGACATATAACCTTTACTCTTTTAAATCAACCACTTAGAGCCTGTTCGGATTAATTTTTTTAACCAATATTGTCTATATTTATAGTTAATATAAGCCAAACCGAATATAAATATTGTTAACAAAATAAATTATAGTAAAATTTAATACCATTGTGGTATTATAGTATACAAACGTAGTTTGCCGAATACTAATATTTATAACATTAGTATTGGAATCACCATGGGCGATGGAGAACAAATGTACTATAGTATACAGTGTATTTGGCTCGAAGCTCTAAAAACTATACTACAGATCAACTATATATGCCCGCTAGCGCATGCTAGCGCCGTAGCGTGGGGGTGCCGTAGGCACGTGATTTATCCAACAATTAGTTTTACAAAATATGGATTTACAATTATTACAAAATATTTAAATTTGTATAATAATTTTGTTAAATCTCTAATAAAGATTTGATTAGCTTTTGCTTATAAAATGTTGCCAATATATATGTGAAGCCATAAATTTAGGCTAAATTAGCCATCACAAAAGCCCACAACCCTATGTTTGCAACAATTTAAAAAATCGATCTAAACGCGCCCTTAGTGTTTGTATCTATTATATGATTTACAATTTTTTTCATTTTTATGGGCTAAAAACCCTTATTGATTTTTTATTAACCAGTTATACCTAGCTAGCATATTCTTAAACCAATCGATAACATTATTAAGGTTTACTTATTGAGGTATAATAAGGGGTACTTATCGCATAAACGTGATTATTTACGCCCTGTTAATCAAGCTCCTGTCACAACTTACAACTTGATATTGTTATACGAACATCTAACTGGGCATCATTTACTGGCAAAGGCTCTATGTACATGCTATAGTACGATATGTCGAGATATATATCTCAAGCAGGTCGTTTTGTTGTGAAGCCTCCGCAGCTTGTCCAGCAGCCAGCTCATGGATGGCTGTTACTTGATCTATGCTAAAGATTTACCTTAAGTTAGCTTCATCATAAATTAAGCTCTTTCCTATGTAGGAGCTATCAATTTATTATACGTCAACTTACATCTTCAATTCACCATGTTCCTGCTTATCAAGTGGTTAACACGGATGTTATCGTTCATTCTTTCGTGTATGCATTTCCGACCTGCCTCATTCAGTATGGCAGCGGGGATCAAAGAGCTAGGGTCTGCAGATCCGAGAGGGGCAATTGCAGCTGTGCCTGCCAAGGACCCAAGATATAAATCGGAGCTTTTATTCTTCAGCCTTTTGAATTGGATCTTTCCATCGCGTCAATAAATTCCTTTCATAATCATGGCGAGGACGAAGATTTCGGGCCTTGTTGCCCTCGTGGCTCTGACACTTCAAGTGAGTGCGATTGTTGTACCGCGCCATTTGGAGGTTCATGAGAAGCGGGAAACTTTACACCCGAGATGGACCAAAAGAGATCGTGTCGAGTCACACATGTTATTGCCAATGCGAATTGGCTTGACACAGAGCAATCTCGACGACGGCTATGATCATTTGATGAGGATGTGAGTTTTTGAGCCTAGATTAACTTGAGGCCGAGCAGAAATTGATTGGCTATACATAGATCTGACCCTGCGTCACCGCACTTCGGACAGCACTGGACTCCAGAAGAAGTCATCGAGACTTTCCGTCCTACCAAGCAAACCGAAGATGAAGTTCGGAAGTGGCTGATTGACTCCGGTATTCCAGCCGGACGAATTACTCACTCAGACAACAAAGGTTGGTTCGCATTTTATGCGACTGCCAAAGAGGCAGAAAATCTGTTATATACCGAGTACCATGAGTATAAAGATTCAGTTACTGGTGGTGTTATGCCCTCATGCGAGGCGTACCATGTTCCCAAGAATATTCGAAAGCACATCGATTACATCAGTCCTGGAATCAAACTCCTTGCACCAATTGAACATCCAAGCAACAAGTTGAAGCGAAACGCTGAAATGGCAGAGCATGAACTCTACAAAAGAAATAGGCTATTAAAAAATGCGAAGCATAGCTACAGCAATTCCAATGCTACAGATTTGAGCACTTGCGATGTTCTTATCACTCCAGCTTGCATCGCTGCTCTTTACAAAATTCCACCTGCGACTTTAGCTCATCCAAACAATTCCATGGGTATCTTCGAATCTGAGTTGCAATTTTATACACAAAACGATCTGGATTTGTTCTTCACAAACTTCACAAAACATATTCCAAATGGTACCCATCCAATTCCAGCAAACATCGATGGTGGAATGCAATCGACGACTGACCCTTACTACGCTGGCGGTGAGGCAAGTCTCGATATTCAGCTTGCTTATCCAATTCTTTATCCACAACAAATTACACTCTATCAAGTTGACGACTACATCGTCCAAGCGAATCAAAATGATACCTACACCTTTGGATTTAACACTTTCTTGGACGCGTTAGACGGGGTAAGTTGACCCTGACCTCGAATGTCAAGAAACAACCAATTAACATCTTTTAGTCATATTGTAACTTCACTGCC